AACCGGGGCTCGCGGGGACAGGGGGCGGGCGGAGCAGGCTTGCGGGCTCGGGTGGGGCCCCCGGCGCGGGGGCCGCGGGCGAGAAGCGGGGGCCGCACCTCTGCGGGTGGAGACCCTGGGCTTTTCCCGAGTGCCGGTGGCCTCTGCCCGTCAGGCTGAGCGAGCGGGGCTGCCATATGGCGGGGTGGACGGCGCGGCCGAACTCCGCAGGCCTGCAGCAGTCTGCGCTCTGTTTCCGTGAAGCGGCTTTACTGAGCTGTAACTTATGTGCCACGAAGTACCGCGTAGGAGAGTCTCCGTAAAACTGTCCCAGCACAGGCAAGGCTGCCTTGGCTTCGGCATCTCAAAAACAGCCAGGAAGTCTGCTCGGAAGTCCTTACCACCTTTGGAGATCAGGACAGCCTCGTTAGGAGAATGGGTGGTTTCCAGGTGGAAGCCTACTTACTGGCTTTGGGGTTCCCTGGAGAGAAAGATGGGCAGGCCGCCAGGCTCACTGCTTTCTTGGGCAGGCTCCCCTCTCCCTAGGTCTCCTGTCCCCTTTGCTCTCCTGCTCGCCCCCTTGCAGTGTGACTGGAAGGGAGCCTTGACCCTAGGACCACTGGGCAGTCTTGCAGGCTGGTGGTGCTCCCTACACAGCGCCCTGCAGTGGTGATCAGGGCGGGGGCCCAAGGTTGGGCGGGGTGCAGGCTCCAGCAGGGCCAGCCAGGGGTGGCGGACAAGGAGCCATTCAGGCCTCCAGCCCAAATGCAAGCTGGCCTGTGGCCTCTACCCCAATCCCAGACTTTGCCACACTTCCATAAAGCAGGTGCTGCCAGACCCGGGGGTGTCCATTGCCAGGGGGGCCCAGGCTTAAGAAGTGGGGGCGTTGGGAAGTTCAGGGCTTTGGCCACGTCCCGCTGTCTCCCACTTGGTCATTTGTGTCTGCAGCCCGCTGGTCTGTCCGGTCTGGGACTTTTGGCTTCCTGAGCAAGTCCAGTGGGTTGGTTCAGAGATGCGGGCTTTTCTGGGAACTCTGTTTGGTGCCAGTCAGCCCTGGCCACACTGAGAAGCGGGCTGGGATCCGGGGGGCAGTTTGTGGCTTCTCAGTTTTTAGAGCGTGGAGGGGGCGGTGATGGTGTCTCAGTCTGCTCTGCAGCCGTAACAGAACCGCAGAGACGAGGCTTAAATAGCAGACTGTTTTCTCACAGCTCTGGAGGCTGGGAGTCTAAGATCAAGGTGCCGGCCAACCTGGTTGCTGCTGAGGGCTTTGTCGTCCTGGCTTGCAGACGGCTTTCCTCTCCCTGTGTGCTCACATGGCCAGCGGCCTGGTGTCTCTTCTCATAAGAGCCCTAGTACCATCATGGGGCCCCACCCTCATGACTTCGTGTAACCTTAGTCACCTCCCAGAAGTCCCACCTGCAAACACTGTCATCATGGGGATTAGGGCTTCAATACTGAACTCCGGGGGACACAATTCAGTGCATAGAGGTGGGACCCAGGAGAAGGTCGGCTGCCTGGGCCGGGCAGGCAGGAACCTGTGTCACTCACACTGACCTGTCCGACGTTCTCAGCTTCCATCCTGAAATGCACACCCGGCAGGACAATTTCCGACACTTCGTCCAATGCAGAACCGCTTAACCCGCTACTCTGATTTGTGTCTCAGGGCTCACGGCGCGGGTGGGACCCTGACGGAGGCAGGGCTTTCCTGTCCTTTGAGCAGGCCCTTCGCTGGAGTCCTGGACAAGATGGGTCCCAAAGCTGTTGGGGATTCCCGCTGCTTTGGAGTCTGACTTCCTGGAAGCGTGCGGGTGATTGTGCTGCTGTCCTGTGTGTGCAGGACTATAATTTCTAGAGCCAGATAGTGGTGTGGCCCTTTCCAGAGAAGGAGACAGTTGGGGAAAACTCACGTTTCAGTGTCTTCTGAACCAGATTGCTGGCTCTTTTCCTGCCCCGACAGGAGTAAGTGCACAGAGGTCTGGAGGTCACGGGCTGAAGTGAAGACTGAGTGTGGTACCTGTCTCGCAGCCAGGGGAGGGCCTAGTGTGTGCAGACAGATGGGACGCCTGGGTGACTGCTCTGAGCACCTCGGTCCTAGAGGCAGGACCTGAGTCCTCGCGGGCTGAAGGGTCCTGCCCGGGGCCTCGCCGCACCACGTCACTGGCCTTGCTGGTCTGAGGTCTGGCCCAGCGTGCCATCCCCTGCAGGCTGGTCGCTGGCATCTGGCCACAGGTCGTCTCCATGGACAGTCCTGCTTGGCGGCGACAGCCGGTTGGAGGGGGATGAGGAGGCTCTTCCTGCTTCGTGCCAGGGTCACGGGCTCCCAGCATCGGTGGCTGTGGCCCGGCCAGGTAGCAGGGCCACGTGCTGGAGCGTGGATTCAGGAGGGGGCACGGGTATCTCCCCTGGAGGGTGTCAGCCAGGGGTCTCCTGGTCCCCGCAGCATGCGGTGGTGGAGGGAGCTGTTAGGACCTGTGGATCCGGACAGCGTGTGGCGGGAAATCAGGAGGCCCGTGGGCGCCCCACAGCAGCTACCTGCGGGTGCAGGGAGTGGAGGCTGAGCCCAGAGGTCTGCGGGAGAGAGGCTCAGACCTCAGCTGTAAATATTTGAAACTGCATATGGGGGTGGGGGCGGTTAAGCCATTGAAATGACATCCTCCAAGGGTATTGCCAGGGGACCCCGCCCCCGCAGCGGAGGGAAACCAGGGTATCGGAAGGTGTGTGGAGGCAACAGCCTCAGACAAAGAGGCTTCTCACAATCTCAGACTCTTGGTGTTGAAGGAGCCTCGGTGGCCTTCCTGCCTGACCAGGCCAGGCGCCCACCTCTGGGGAGCAGCTGCAGGAGGGGACCCGGGTGTTGCGCCACAGTGGGGGGCCGAGCCATTGCCGACTCAAGGCTCGTCTGCCACCCCCGGCCTGTAGGATGCAGGACCTGGAAGGGCCTCCCCAGAAAGGTGCCCCTGGCCCGCACAGAGTGTCCCCTGTGGGCACAGAGGGTCGTCTGGCCAGAGGGAGGGGGAGGGAGGGAGGATGCGCCCTGGACCTGCACCCTAGACCTGTAGCCACCACACCGTGGGAGGGAGGGCTGAGGCACCACAGTGACCTCCGTGGTGACCTCCCGCTTGCGTGTTCTTACAGGAGCCTTCCTGCCAGGGCACAGGATGTTTTCTTAAGTTTTTCTAGTACCCTGGCAGCCGTGTGCTGCTTGGGAGAACTGTTTGCTTTTTTGCATGGAGCCTGACAAAGGGCCATCGTCCCGGCTGCCCTACTGGGCCGGCTCTGGGGCCTGGGGGGTGGGGGGGCGGGGTGGCAGGAGCTCCAGTGACCGCCCAGCCCCACCCCTCCAGCTCCAGGCTCCGCTTCCTGTTTGCATTTCAGTTGGCACCTTGCATGGTGGAGCGCTTTCCTTCTGTGAAGCAGGAAGAAGGGGCTTTGGGGATCCTGGACAGGAGGTACTGGGGGAGGGGTGCTTAGGAGGCCAGGCCCTCCTCCCCTCCGCAGCCACCCCTTTCTGCTGGCCTGGAGAGGCTGGGGCCCAACTGTGTCCTCTAGCCCTAAGCCAGTTCCTCTTCCAGAAACTGGGCCAGCCTCTAGAGGGGCCGCCCCCTTCCACCCTTGGTCAGCCCCGGGGCATGTGAGAGTGTTGGTTAAACTGGGAGGGAGCCCTGCCCTGCCCCAGGCTGCCTGCACAGGGAAGGCTGCCTGCACGAGGTGGGGGGGGGGGGGGTGCGCGGTGAGCCACCGGTGGTCATGGCCTGGGTGAACCTGTCTGCTCCCTGCTGCTGCGTGACCACAGGCCTGAGGGACAGGAACCTGGCCCGGCGTCACACTGGCCTTATCATTTGCCCTTCTTTCATGTGAAAGTTTGAGAGAAGTGTGCAGCCACAGGAAAACGGGTGAGGCGAGGGTCCGTGGCGCCCTGGGGCAGCCGCACCCCGTTCCCCCAGCACTGCCCAGAGGCACATGTGACACTCATGGGCTGGGTGGGCTTGAGAACCCAGCCACGGTACCGCGGCCCAACTCCAGACAGGTCGGGGTGGTTCCCTAATCCCACAGTCTGCATGAGGTCCCTGGTCAGACTCCTCGGGGGGCCTGGTCGTTTCGAGCTGCGCTCAGAGGTGGCCCCGGAGGCAGCAGCAGACCCTGGCTTGAGTTTCCACGGTGTCTCGGGGAAGCACGGGTGAAGCCCGCGTTGGCGATGCTGCTGTCTCGCGCCTGGCAACCAGAACCACACGTCCCGGTACAGGCCTCGGGCCCCTCACTCCCCTTGGCCCCGGAGGTCCGGATGGTCCGCTGTCCTTTGTCCCGGTGACAAAGCCCTTTCCAGGAAGTGCGCCTGCTGTGCCCACGTGACTGTCCCCCCCCCCCCCCCCAGCTCCCGGCTCCTTCTGAGGGGGCGGCCGGAGAGCCTTGCTCCTTGCCGCTTCCGCGATGCTGACACTCACACTGTGGCTCCCGACGGGGCAGCGGCCGTCGCGCTGAGTCTGAGTTCCAGAGACGCCTGGATGACTCCGCTGAAGGCGTTCAGCACCTACTTGATACTCAGACTCACGTCTTCTGCTGGGTTTTCTCACCTGCGGGAGTTTGGCGCAGTGTGTTTTGTTCCAGAGCCGGAAAGGGAACGTCCCGGTCTGCCTGACTGCCCCTCAGGGCTGGTCCCTGAGCTCCAATGCCTTGCTCTCTGTGGGGTAAACGGGAGATGGGGGTAACAGGTCTGCTCGGCAGAGGACCCCCAGTTCACTGGCGGGGGCAAAGCCAGGCCTCTCCAGCTCTGTTCTTAGCCCCGTGGTGCAGGGTTTGTATGCCGCTCACAGCCAGACTCTCACACCTGCTGTGCCGGCCACAGGGACCCTGGACCCCAGCCGTCCGTAGCTGGTGACTGACAGGTGTCAATCTGGAAGGGCAGAGGCGGTGATGCCACCCACGGATCTTTCAGATCAGACTGAGCCCCGTGGTGCCCTGAGCCCCGTGTGCAGGTGAAGACGTGCTTCCTGTATTTCCTCAGGTATCCCTCATCAGTGCCAGGAGCTGCCTCCCAGCCATGGAGGGGGAGGAGGAGCGGTCACCTCAGGAGGTCAGAGCCTGGAGGCTGGATGCTGGGCGGGGGGTAGGGGGCGGCTGCTTCCTGAACGACCTCGGGCTCGGGGTCTGGCCAGCTGCTCAGCAGAGTGTGGGTTCCCCCTCAGTGTGGTCGCCTGGGGTCACCGTGGCTGCTTCTATGCATAGAAGAGCATTACGTGGCTTTTGGAGGGTGGGGGGTGGGTTCTGGGTCAGCCAGGGGGACCTGGGGGCAGGGAGCCCTGGGGGTGGGCCGTATCCAAGGAAATGACCACAGAGATTTCATCCCGGGGAGCACACGGAGTTCATGGAGCAGCAGCCCCTGAGTTCTTGATGGGCCCGCTGGGGACAGGTGGGTGCCAAGTGTCCCGCAGCCCCCAGGGAGGGTGGTGCCCTGACTCAGACACTCCTGTTCCCTCTGCAGGCTGACACGGAGCCCGTTGTCCCAGTGGGGTCTTCCGAGGTGGTGCCCAGGGTGCTTTCCGGAGAACCCCAGAACCTGTGTGCGTGCTCCCTGACACCATTCAGTGCTGGGGGGACGGTGGGGGTGGGCAGCTCCTGGCCAGGTGGGGCTTGGGCTGAGTTTGTGGTGAATGGGGGCCCCAGCCAGCCCCAGGTTGTTGGGTGGGAGGCTAAGTGCTTCAGAGCTGCCCTGGGGACCTCGGCCCTGCATGGTCACGGCCATCCCCGTCCTGGCTCCCTCGATGCCCGGGTGATTCTCATCGTGGAGACTGCAGACCTCGCCAAGGCCCAGGCCCCTTTTCACGGGGAAGGTCTGCTCCGACGGCACCGTGCCGGTCGCGTGCGCTGTGGTGAGCAGTGCCGAGTGTGGGTGGCGGCCCATCGAGGCCGGGGGAGCCCCGTGGAGAGAGCTGCTCAGGAAGGTGGGCCCCGGTGCGCCCGGCACCCCAGCTGGCCTGTTGTCCTTGCAGCCGACGCCGACGCTCTGTCCCTGCTCCTGGAGATGAAGCTGAGGAGGCGGCGGGAACGGCCCAGCCTGCCGCGCACCGTGACCGAGCTGGTGGCCGAGGACGGGAGCAGGGTGTACGTGGTGGGCACAGCCCACTTCAGCGATGACAGCAAGAGGGACGTCGTGAAGGTGAGGCCCGCCACACTGGGCTGGCCTTGGGCCGAGCGGCCCCTTCCCGTGAGCCCCCACTTCCTCCTCCGCGACGCCAGCGCCCCTCAGAAGGGAGGTTTCTGATGCCGGGGAAGTCTCACAGCCTGGGCACTTTTCTGTTTAGCGATCGGCGAACTTTTTGTAGCTTCTCGGTTGCTTCCAGAAACGAGTTGTGGCCACAGCAGCCGAGGCGGCCCCTGGGGCCGGGCCTCCCGGTCGGTTCCAGGGCGGCCTCCGCCTGCAGGGCCGGGGCCGGGCCGGGAGCAGGGCCCCGGGGCTCAGCCGGCACGTCCGTTGCAGACCATCCGGGAGGTGCAGCCTGATGTGGTGGTGGTGGAGCTGTGCCAGTACCGCGTGTCCATGCTCAAGATGGACGAGAGCACGCTGCTCCAGGAGGCCAAGGAGATCAGCCTGGAGAAGCTGCAGCAGGCCGTGAGGCAGGTGCGGCGCCGGGCGGCCTTGCGGTCAGCAGGGCGGTGCCCTGCCCACCCTGGCCGGTGGCAGGAGAGGGGCTCCCCTTTACTGGGTTTCGGACGAGGGAGGACAGGCGGGTGGTGCTTCGGCCCCGAGGCGAGGGCCGGACGGGGACCCCGGGGTTCGCCGAGCAGGTCCTGGGGCACGGGGTGGGGGGGGGTTGGTGGTGGCCGCGGAGTGCGCTCCAGCCTGCCTGCCGGCTTCAGGGACACGGGCGGGGGAGTTGAGGCCTGGGCGGGGGCGGCTGGAGGGAAGTGGGGCCTCGGCATCCGCCGTGGCTGTGGCCGCCCGCCCAAGGCCCTTGCCCAGCCCCACGACGTAGGCTCGGCCTGTGCTCTGTGCCCGCGCGGCCGTTGACCCTCGGTCCCCTCCCCTGCAGAACGGGGTCATGTCTGGACTCATGCAGATGCTGCTGCTGAAGGTGTCGGCCCACATCACCGAGCAGCTGGGCATGGCCCCTGGCGGCGAGTTCAGGGAGGCCTTCAAGGAGGTGGGCCGGGGTCCGGCCGGGAAGGGGGCTCAGGGCGCGGGAGCCGCCCCGGGGCTCGGGCTTCCCCAACCAACACCCAGCCCCTGCCCCAGGCCAGCAAGGTGCCTTTCTGCAAGTTCCACCTGGGCGACCGGCCCATCCCCGTCACCTTCAAGAGGGCCGTCGCCGCACTGTCCTTCTGGCAGAAGGTCAAGCTGGCCTGGGGCCTGTGCTTCCTGTCAGACCCCATCAGGTAGGGCCCCTCGGCCCCCGGCAGGCAGCGCCACCCAGGAAGCGGGGCCCAGCCCCCGCCGCGTGGCACGCTCCCCCTCGTTCTCGGGCCGAGCCTCCTCAAACAGCGCCTTCCCGCTCCTCCCTTCCGCCGTGACCCCAAACAAAGAGGGTACCGAGGTCCCTGCCCTGGGTCAACAGCACCGGCCTCCCGCCGGCCGCCCCGTGCCCGCGAGGCTGGCAGCGTGCCCTCTGCCCCCAGCAAGGACGACGTGGAGCGCTGCAAGCAGAAGGACCTGCTGGAGCAGATGATGGCCGAGATGGTCGGCGCGTTCCCCGACCTGCACCGCACCATCGTCTCTGAGCGCGACGTTTACCTGACCTACGTGCTGCGGCAGGCCGCCCGGCGCCTGGAGCTGCCCCGCTCCTCTGACGGTGACGGCGACGGCCGGCCCCGGGCGGGGGGGGGGGGGCTCCCCAGGCGCCGTGCCCGCCGCGCCCGCCGCGCGGGGGCTGATGCTTCCCTTTCCCCACAGCCGAGCCCAGGAAGTGTGTCCCCTCGGTGGTGGTGGGTGTCGTGGGCATGGGCCACGTGCCGGGCATCGAGAAGAACTGGACCACCGACCTCAACATCCAGGAGATCATGACGTGAGTGCCGCCCACGTGCGCGCCCTGCAGTCCCTGAGCACAGAGCCCGGCGGGGTCGCGGCCGGGCTGGGGGCTGGGGGCTGGGGGGCGGCGTGCGCCCCCTCCCCCCCAGCCAGGCCCAGCCCGCCCTCCCTTCCCCAGCGTCCCCCCGCCGTCCGTCTCCGGCAGAGTGTCCCGGCTGGCCGTGAAGGCCGCCTTCTTCGGCCTGCTGGGCTACGGCCTTTACTGGATGGGGCGCCGCGCCACCAGCCTGGTCCTGTCACTGCCTGTCGCTCAGTACTGTCTGCAGAGGGCGTCCGCGGCCCGGCCGCGCGAATAGGAAGGACCAACACGTGGCTGCTCCCGTGTCACCGCTGAGGGGCGCTGGGGCTGGCCCCCCCCCCCCCCCAACGAGGAGCGGCTGGGTGCCACCCCCTGTGGGGGTCCGGGCCCGGCCACGCCTCTCCTCCCCCAACCCGCCCAAATAAAGAAATATTTAACTGCTCTGAGCTCAGGCTTCCCAGCAGCCCCCTCCCCACCCTCATCCCCGGCCCTGCAGGGACCGCTCTTGGGGTTCATGGGCATCGGGACGCGCTGGTGGGGGAGGGGCCAAAGGTGCACACTGCCCCACCCCCATCCCCGGCCCCCAGGTGAAGGGGCGTGGTGGGCATGGCCAGCCATCCCCTACCTCACTGTGCCTTCTCACGCGCTGGCAGCAGGAGCCCTGGCCCGGGAGCGAGTCCCAGTGGGTTCTGGGCCACCGGGTTCCTGGCCGGCATGTTTGGGAAGGGCCAGGTCACCCCACGCAGCTCTGTCGTGGCTCCTGGGAGCGTCCCTCCCGCCTGGGCAGCTTGGCCACGCTCGGTCGTGGCGGGCGCACACCAGCTCTGCCTGCAGACGGTGTGTGGTTTTGTTTTTTAAAAATGTCTGAAGTTTTTTTACTCAGGTAATTCTAACTTAAGAGAAAAACTGAAGCAAATGTCAGAAAATACTAGCCTTAAACCTGGTTGGGACAAAGAGAACGTGTGTGTGGGGGGACCTCGATCCCGAGAGGGTGAGCCCGTGGGAGAAAGGTCAGCCTCCGCAGGGGGGTGCCAGGCCCGCCTCTGGCTGGGGGCTTCTGGGGCTGCAGCCCTCGGACGGGAGCCTTCCTCGGCCCCAACCTCAGTGGACAGCGGGCGCGTGTCCGCTGTGGGGCGGGACAGACGGAGACCCGAGGTTGGGCCGAGCCCACGCGGGGCTCCCACCCCGGGCACCTCCCTGCGGCCACGCTCCGCGGGTCACGTGTCTGTGACACGGCCTCTGTGCAGCCCACCCGGGCCCCCGGGGCCACGCTTGATTGTGTTTGTGTTGACTCGATGTCTGACAAAACCAGGTGAAACCCACGGCCGTGAACGGGGCCGCACCGTGTTTTCCTGTCATACATGTACTCATTCCTGAGAAATGGAAATAAAGTCTAATTTTGGAAGCTCCTGTTTTGTGAAGTGTGTAGAAATGAGCGCAAGCGGCAGGGAGGAGGTGACGGGTGGCAGCAGGGGTGACCGGCCTGGGCCTAGTGGTCTGGAGAACTTCCTGCCGCCAACACCTGCCTCTCAGCACTAGATCTAGGCCCTGGGGCCCCCGGCACCTGCCTGCCCCAAGTGCGGACCCCCGCCCAGCGAGGACACCAGCCAAGGGGAAGTGTGCTCAGGGACAGGCAGTAGTCCCTGCCCCTCACCTCCCTGGTCCACACCCTCAGGCTTCCCGCCCTACTCAAACCTCCCCCAACCCTGGCACAGGGGCAGGGGTGGGGGGGGGGGGTGGGGGGAGGCGGGGCGAGCCCAGCACCCGAACAAAAGGTGCCGGGACCAGCGGCTCAGATCTGCCCGGAAGGACCACAGTGAGCACCCAGGGTGGTGTAGGCCGTCCGTGGGCGTGAAGGGAGGCTGGTAGGGCTGCGGGCTGGGCTCTCCCCCACCAGGGCTGCACCCTCCGGAAGCATGGCTGCCCACCCCGTACTGGGCCTTGCTACTATCCTCTGCCTCTCTGTGCCCCAGGCCGGCTCCATGGTGCGGCATCGACAGCCGGTAAGAGTGGTCATCGGGGCGGTGGGTCTCGCCGGGCTACCAAGACCGCCCCCGACCAATGTCCTCTCTCTCCACAGGTCCAGGTGGTGCTGCTGGAACCCCAAGGTCGGGATGGGGTGGGGGGGGCATCAGGTCTGGGCAGCCTCTGGCCTGTCACCCACGGGCCCTGCCCTGGCAGGCCTCACTCCCCATGAGGACCGGGCTGGGTCCCTGCCCCAGACGGCCTGGGAGGAGGGCAGACAAGGACCAGGCCCCACTGTGTTCCTGTGTTAGGAGGGGCCCGCTGGGCTCAGGGCAGCCCTCCCGCCACTGCCAGGCCAGGGGGAGGAAGGTGGGGGAACCGTGAGGGACCTTCCCAGGGCAGCAGGTGAAGGGGAGAGGGTCTGTCTGGGGGCCACGGGAAGAATTGAGGGTCTGGCTGAGGGTTGCGGCCCGGCCAATTTGCAGAGCCCAAGGAACAGCCACTCCCAGAGAAGAGGCCTGAGGCAGGCGTGGCCCAAACTCGGGAGACTGGCTGCCCATCTGCCAGATTGTCCCAGGGCCTCTGCAGGAGGACCCCGGTTCTGGTCACTGGGGGACCACGGGCCCCTCCCAGGCCTGAGCCTTCCTGGCCGCGTCTCCCACAGGGAGGGACTGCTCTCAGATCTGGGTGGAGAAGCCCAGAGCCCCCAGCGGTGTGTACACCATCCAGCCAGAGGGAGCCAGCGCCCCCTTCCAGGTGAGCAGCCCTCAGCGGGGTGAGGGTCCAGGAGATACTCCGTATGACTTGCTTGGGCAAAAACAAGAGAAGTTACTTGTTCAAGTAACAGGGAAGGACTGGCCGGACCGGGTGGAGTCTGTCCTCAGACACAGCTGGGCACGGAGATGTTCACGGACTTTGCCGG